ATAGGGCACATGCACTTGCCAGAGAGACAGAAAGAGACAGAGAGCGAGAAATCACCCCCCAGGGGGGATGGCCACGCCGCAATCCCTTCTCCTCCATTCTCCTCTCGGGATCTTGGGCACGCACGCACACGCGCCCGGCGTGAGTTTAAGCCACCGGGTCCGGGACTTGAACCAAGGTAGACTACACGGGAGTCCAGCGACACAGCCATTACGCCAACTGCTGGTCTCAAAGTGTAGCTTACTACGTGCCCCTCAGCCCTGGGATCAGCAGAGCAGGGTGTGCATGGCAGCAGACCGTGACCGAGTGCGGGAAGTCCGGGCAGGCAGGCGTGCGAGGCGGCCTTTCCGGTGGTGACCTAGTTTCCCAGCCAGCCCCCCTCCTGGGCTGGGCTGGGGCCGACATTTGTACGGTGCCAGAGGCCGTTCCTCCAGCCTGGAAGGAAGGAGCTGGGTCACGGGCCATTCAACTGTAGCCAGGGACAGCCGCCTTCAGCCTCGTCACCCTCCACCCAGGCACGTCGGAGTGTTCCTCCCTGTCCCCACCTTCCTGGCCTCCCCTGGCCCAAGCCCGGGCCCAGCAGGACATGGCTCCACATACGTTATTCCAAGACCTGGTCTTTCACCCGGCTCGGCCTTGGCTTCTGCTGCCTGGAATCCCCTCCCCACTCCACGTTTTCCTTTCTTTCTTTCTTTCTTTCTTTCTTTCTTTCTTTCTTTCTTTCTTTCTCTCTTTCTTTTTTTTATGTAGAATTCTACTTTATATTCTTTTTTCTCCATTGAAAGACTATTTATTTATTTAATTCCATTGGTTATTATTATTTTGGAGAGGTTTTTGCTATAGGGCACGTGTGCTCGCCAGACAGACAGAGAGAGACAGAGAGAGAGAGAAAAGGAGAAAGCAAGCCTCCAGGTCTGGGACTCGAACCATGATCGGTTATGTGGGAATCCAGTGCCTTCAACTACCATGCCATCTGCTGGCCCTTTTTTAAAAAGAAATCACCCCCCAGGGGGGATGGTCACGCCGCAATCCCTTCTCCTCCATTCTCCTCTCTGGATCTTGGGCACGCACGCACACGTGCCCAGCGTGAGTTTAAGCCACTGGGTCCGTGACGCGAACCGCGGTCGACTACATGGGAGTCTAGTGATAGAGCTATTACGCCAACTGCCGGTCCCCCACCCTTTTTTTTTAAGAGAGATTTTTGCTATAGGGTGTGTGCACTCACCTGAGAGACAGACAGAAAGCGAGAGATCACCCCTTGGGGGGGATGATCACTCTGCAATCCTTTCACCTCCATTGTCTTCTCGGGATCTAGGGCACGCATGCGCACACACCCGGCGTGAGTTTTAAACCGCTGGGACCAGGATTAGAACCACAGTCAACTACACGGAAATCCAGTGATGTAACTCTTACTCCATCTGCTGGTCACTGGCCCCTCTTTTTTAATACTTTGTAAAAGGTCATTATAGTGTGTGTGTGCTCGCAGGAGAGACCCACAGAAGAGAGAGAAAGTGAGAAATCACACCTTCCCTCCCAGGGAAGCCAGCCATAATCCCTTCTCCATTCTCCTTCTAGGATTTTGGCACGAATACACATTTGCCTGGGGTGGTTTTCTTTCCTTTCCTTCCTTACCTTTTCTTCTTAAAGAATTAATGGGACCAGGACCAGCAATTAGCATAATGGCTATGTGGCTGAACTGCCACGTAGTTGACCGCGGTTTGAGTCCTGGACCCGGTGGCTTAAACTCATGCCAGGAGCGTGTGCTTGCGTGCCCGAGATCCCGAGAGGAGAATGGAGGAGAAGGGATTGCGGCATGGCCATCCCCCCTGGGGGGTGATTTCTTGCTTTCTCTCTCTCTCTCTGTCTCTCTCTGTCTCTATCTCTCTCCAGCAAGCACATGTGCCTTAAGCCAAAAATCTTAAAGGAAAAAATTTTAAAAAAGGCCCAGCAGGTGGAGCAGTGGTTAAAGACACTGGACTCCCATGTGTCTGATCATGGTTCAAGTCTGGGACCGGGCAGCTTGCTTTCTCATTTCTCTCTCTTTCTCTCTCTGGTGAGTACATGTGCCTTATAGCACATTAAAGTAAATAAATAGATTAAAAATAAGTAATTCTCAGGGGCCAGCAGGTGGACTGGTGGTTAAGGCGCTGGAATTTCCACATGGCCAACCACAGTTCGAGTCCCGAACCTGGCAGCTCTCTGTCTCTCTGTCTTTTTCTGGCAAAACTCATGTGAAAAAAAAAAAATGAATGAATAAAATAATTTTTAAAAAATAAAATAATAAGTAATTCTGGGGACCAGCAGATGGCATAATGGTTACTTCGCTGGACTCCCCTATGTCGACTGTAGTTCAAGTCCCAGACCAGGCAGTTTGAAACTCACTCCGGGCGCGTGTGCGTGCGTGCCCAATATCCTGAGAGGAGAATGGAGGAGATGGGATTGTGGCGTGGCCATCCTCCCTGGGGCGAGGGAGTGTGTGATTTCTTGCTTTCTGTCTCTCTGTTTCTGTCTCTCCGGCGTGTATATATGCCCTATAGCAAAAAGTCTCTCTCCAAAGAAAGTTCTTTCTTGGGACCAGCAGTTAGCGTAATGGCTATGTTGCTGGACTCCCATGTAGACAAACGTGCTTCGTGTCCCAGACCTGGTGGCTTAAACTCACGCCGGGGGCGTGTGCGTGCGTGCCCAAGATCCTGAGAGGAGAATGGAGGAGAAGGGATTGCGGCGTGGCCATCCCCCCCGGGGGGTGATTTCTCGCTTTCTATCTCTCTGTCTCTCTGGCGAGCACACGCGCTTTATGGCAAAAACCTCTTCCAAAAAAATTATTATTTTATTGAACTTTATGTATTTTAATTCGACCAGAGTGAGAGACAGAAAGGGGGGGGGGCAGTGACAAAGCAAGCCATCAGGTCCAGGACTCGAACTGCGAACGGCTATGTGGGAGTCCAGTGCCCTTAACAGCCATGCCATCTGCCTATCCCCTTATTTATTTATTTATTTTTTTGAAAGGGAGAAATCACCCCCCTCTCCCCAGGTGGCCACACTGCAATCCCGTCTCCTCTGGGGATCTTGGGCACGCACGCACACGTGCCCAGCGTGAGTTTGAAGCCACCGGGTCCAGGACTCGAACCACCGTCGACTACGTGGGAGTCCAGTGATACAACCATGACCCCATCTGCCGGTCCCGAGTGGTAGGATTTTATTCCCAAGCTGCATTAGCAGTTAGGGAATAGATTTGGCAGACTACCCCACGTAGGAAGTCTCTCAGACGCCAAAACCTGGGTTCTACACCCGCAGGAACCCCAAAAGGCAAGCACGCCCTTCTAACTTGGGCAAGAGAAACTCGGTCGCAGAGTGCGGTTCCTTTAAGAGCTGAGCACGTAGGGGCGGGGTCGGTCACACCAAGCCCCGCCCAGGAGTGGCAGAAGGGGGCGGGCCTTGATTCACTTTGCGCATGCGCCGCACCCACGCGGTTCCGGGTCCTGGCTTTTTGTTCCCTGGGCAATTTGCAGAGAAACTGAGGCTCGTAGGAAGAAGGGCAGCTCCCAAAACCGTGGGAAACCCGTTTTCCGTGAAAGACCTGGTTCTGATGATTGGCATTTTCCCCCCGGGACAACTTTTTCGGATATTTCCTGCAGGGGGTGGTAATTGAGGTGACGTTTAGGACTGGAGCGGGTGGGAGAGTTGCAGGTGGGGTCGTGCAGTGATCGAAGCGGCATCGGGATTCGAACCCGTGGCTCCAGCCCAAGCAGAGCCCTGCCCTGCGAAGTCTTGTGGAACCGAGATGACCCATTCACTGGTGTGTCCAGAGACGGTGATCAGGTGACATCTGGGGACACGGGCATGGGGGAGGACCCTAAGCTCAGGAGGCGAGTTGGGGTGGACGCAGTCAGGGGGCTCTGGGAGCTGGGTTCAAGCCCTCCCCCGGCTCTGATCTTGGTGTCTCCAGGGTGAGCTCCGTGCTGAATCGGGACACCCGGCAGTTCGGAAAGAAACACCTGTTCGACCAGGACGAGGAGACGTGTTGGAATTCGGACCAGGTGAGGTGCCTCCCTCGAATTTCCATTCCTGCAGAGGCTGGGGTGCCTTGAGAACTGGGGGCCCCAGGCGGGATGGATCTGCAAAGGAACACGTGCCAAATTCCCCCCATGGACCCTGTGAATAAGGGATAAGATGGGGACTGGCTGGTGACAGTGTAAAATACTGCACTTGGGTTTGGCTGAGCCACGTGGGCAGGTTGTGGGTTTGAATCCCAGGGCTTCTTTGTACACACCTCACCTGCAAGTACATGTCTGTGATCCAGGCTGCCTGTTACTGGGGGGTGATGTGGCATAAGACCCTATTAGAAGTGCTTTTTCTGGGGACCAACGGGTTATGTCGCTGACCCCCACATGGCCGACCACAGTTCAAGTCCCAGACCTGGAGGCTTCAAACTCAGGCCAAGTGAATATATGTGCATGCCCAAGATCCCGAGAGGAGAAGGGATTGCAGTGTGGCCATCCCCCCTGGGGGTGATTTCTCGCTTTTTGTCTCTCTGTCTCTCCAGCAAGTGCATGCACCCTACAGCAAAAACATCTCCAAAAAAAACACTCCCAAAAAAAAAAAGTAGTACTTTTTCTGTTTTTTTTTTTTTTAATTTATGTATTTAATTTTGTTATTAATTCTTAAAAGAATAATGTAATTTTTTATTATTATTATTATTTTTAAAATTTGACCAGAGAAAGAGAGATCCTACGGGTCCAACTGTGGTTCAAGTCCCGGACCTGGTGGCTTGAAAATCACGCTGCACGCGTGTACGTGCCTCCCTGAAGTCCCAGGAGGACCATGGAGTGGGGATTGCAGCATGGCCATTCCCTCGGGGAGTGATTTTTCACTTTCCCTCTATCTCCAGCAAAAGCACACACCCTATGGCAATGAATCTTTTCTTTTTTTTATTTTTTGGAGAGGTTTTTGCTATAGGGCGCGTGCGCTCACCAGAAAGACAGAGAGAGACAGAGAGACAGAAAGCGAGAAATCACCCCCCAGGGGGGATGGCCACGCGGCAATCCCTTCTCCTCCATTCTCCTCTCGGGATCTTGGGCACGCACGCACACGCACCCGATGTGAGTTTAAGCCACCGGGTCCAGGACGCCATCCGCAGTCAACTACATGGGAGTCCAGCAACATAGCCATGAAGCTAACTGCTAGTCCCACAATGAATCTTAAACAAACAAACAAACAAACAAACAAACCCTCCTAGCATGGCTGAGTCAGGAGTGACTATGGGCCTGTTTTTCCATCTGCTTCCAGGGGCCCTCCCAGTGGGTGAAACTAGAGTTTCCCCAGCGCGTCTGTGTGTCCCAGCTGCAGATCCAGTTCCAGGGCGGCTTTTCCAGTCGCCGGGGCTGCCTGGAAGGTACTGGAAGGCCCTGGGAGAGGTGGGGGCATCAAAGGAGCTCCCAGACTTACTGTCTGCCCCTTTCTGCTGCCGTAGGTTCCCAGGGGAGCGAGGCTCTCAGCAAGATTGTGAATTTCTACCCCGAGGACAACAACTCGCTTCAGATATCCTGCCCTGGCCTCTGGAGGAGGGAAGGGGGTACAGAGGGAGGTAGTCTGCCTCTTTGAAAGCTTTGAGAGAGGGACCAGCAGGTGGTGTAGCGGTTATGTTGCTGGACTCCCACGTAGTTGACCGCAGTTTGAGTCCCGGACCCGGTGGCTTAAACTCACGCCGGGTGCATGTGCGTGCGTGCCCAAGATCCCGAGAGGAGAATGGAGGAGAAGGGATTGCGGCATGGCCATCCCCCCCGGGGGGTGATTTCTCGCTCTCTGTCTCTCCAGTGACCACACATGCCTTATAGCAAAAAATCTCTCTCTAAGGGGACCAGCAGATGGCATGATGGTTATGTTGCTGGACTCCCATGTAGTCGACCACAGTTCGAGTCCCGGACCTGGTGGCTTCAACTCACACCAGGCGCGTGTGTGCCTGCGTGCCCAAGATCCCGAGAGGAGAATGGAGGAGAAGGGATTGCGGCGTGGCCATCCCCCCTGGGGGGGGGGATGGCCATGCCGCAATCCCTTCTCCTCCATTCTCCTCTTGGGATCTTGGGCACGCACGCACACGCGCCCGGCGTGAGTTTAAGCCACCGGGTCCGGGACTTGAACCGCGGTCGGCTACATGGGAGTCCAGCAACGTAACCATCATGCCATCTGCTGGACCCCAGGCCTCTATTTTTTATCTGTTATGTGGGAAGGCTTGGAGGAGCCCAGGGTTCACTAGGGTCTGAGCTTGGTACTAAAGCTCCAGTCTGAGGGGGATGGGGCTGGCGGCTGGGAAATGAAAACCACCTGCCTGGGACCAGCAGATGACGTAATGGATAAGGCGCTGGATTCTCACATGACTGACCTTAGTTCGAGTCCCGGACCTGGAGGCCTGAAACACCAGGTGTGTGTGTGTGTGTGTGTGTGTGTGTGTGAGAGACCAAGATCCAGAGAGGAGGATGGAAGAGAAGGGATTGCAGCGTGGTCATCCCCCCGGGGGGGTGATTTCTCATTTTCTGTCTCACTGGCGAGTGCATGAGCCCTATAGCAAAAAGCTCTTTTTTTTTAGAAAAAAAAAAAAAATAGAAAGAAAAGAAAAAAACCACCTGTGTTCCTTGACGGCCCACGTTCACACTTTTCCCGTGCCAGCCACCGAGGTGAACCAGCTCAAGGTGACATTTGAGGACACCACTGACTTTTTTGGTCGTGTGGTCATCTACCACTTGCGGGTGCTGGGAGAGAAGAAGGTCTGAGGCCTCTGGACTGCCGCCTCCTCCAGGAAGCCCTCGGGGAAGCACAGCAACATTCTGCACAGAAAAGTTTATTGGTTCTTCTTGGGAAGGGTCCCCTCCCACCGTCTGTCCAAAAGCTGCCTTTGAAGCCAGTTCCGGGTTCCCCCAGCTCTGGGTCGATCATTTTGTTCCCTGAGTATCTTGACTCCCCGGCAGGTGGCCTTCACTCCGGGTCGGCGGGGACCAGGTTGTTCTGGAAGAGTCTGAGGATATGGTTCTCGATCACCTGTTGGACTGGAGATGGCACAGGGACAGGTGGCCCGTGAATGGGGACAGCAGAATCACCAACCTTCACCCTGTCCCTGGGGGGACACACAGGGTCATCCCAGCCCTGGGACCTGCATGGAGGACCCACTCTGGGGACAGAAGAACCCACGCCCCTCCCAGATCAAGGCTAGGAGAATCTGGGCTCCTTCCCAGCATCCTGTCCTTCTCATAGATTCGTAAAAATGCCTTTTTTTCCTTTTTTCTCTCTAGCAATAGGGTATGTACAGTCCCCAGCAGAGAGAGAACATAAGAAAGAAAGTGAGAAATCGCCCCCCAGGGGGGATGGCCACGCCGCAATCCCTTCTCCATTCTCCTCTCGGGATCTTGGGCACGCACGCACACACGCCTGGCGTGAGATTTAAGCCACCGGGTCCGAGACACAAACCGCGGTCGACTACGTGGGAGTCCAGCAACATAGCCATGACGCTAACTGCTGGTTCCCTTTCAATGAAGTTTTTTTGAAGTCTTAGTCGTTCCTGAACCCTAATCTCCCGAGAACCCCAGAAGATGGCTTCTTTTAGGGTCTCTTCGTTTCATGATAGGGATTTACAATGGAGTCCCGTGGGGATTTTTTGTTTGTTTGTTTGTTTGCTATAGGGTGCCCGTGCTCATTGGAGAGACAGAGAGAAAGAGACAGTGAGACATCACCCCCTAGGGGTGGTGGCTATGCCATAATCCCTTCTCCATTGTCCTCCTAGGATTTGGGGCACGTACGCACATAGGCCTAGTTTGAGTTTCAAGCCATGGGTTGGGATTTGAACCATGGTTGACCATGTGGGAGTCCTGCAGCGATGTAACCATTACGCCATCTGCTGGTCCCTCTCTCTCTCTCTCTCTCTCTCTCTATTTTTAAGGTCTTTGCTGATGGGTGGTTAAGGCTTGGCCAGGCCAGAGAGACAGAAAAACAGAGAGTGGGAAAGTGAGAAATCACCCCCAATGGGGGATGGCCATGCCACAATCCCTTCTCTCCTCTTCTCTTGGGACTTTGGGCACACATGCACATGTACCCGGTGTGAGTCTCAAGCTGCAGAGCCGGGACTTGAACCGTAGTAGGCCATGTGGGAGTCCAGTGTCTTAAGCACTCCACCACCTGCTGGGACTCACTGGAGTCACATTGTGAGGGGGGGATGAAGGAAATCTCTGGGGTTTGTGTAAGGCCCCTGCTCACACACCCCTTACACCATGAATAGGGCTGGCCTCCATGGCTTTGGGGCCTGTCAGTGCCTGAGTGTCCCCGATCATGGTCTCTGTCACTAACATACCACTGGCCTTGTTACCCCAGCACATGCAGACCCTCGAGAGCCAGGACCGGGATGTCCCCAGGTGAGATACACAGGGCCACTGAATGTCTGCTAACAGGAATGCTCTCGCGGGACCAGCAGTTGGCGTCATGGCTATGTCGCTGGACTCCCATGTAGTCCACTGTGGTTCAAGTCCCGGACCCGGTGGCTTAAACTCATGCCGGGCACATGTGCGTGCGTGCCCAAGATCCCGAGAGGAGAATGGAGGAGAAGGGATTGTGGCATGGCCATCCCCCCTGGGAGGTGATTTCTTGCTTT